GCGACCGGGAGTTCTTCCCGAACCACCGGCAATTCCGTAGTCACCGAGCTTCTGCCATGCGCTTGTTGGATGGCTGCTTCCAGACTTTTTGCTGCTCGCTCCACCCCCTCCTCATCCTCTACCTGCGGAATTTTGATTAGTAGGTGTGTGAGCTCTTTGAACTTTACCCAGTTCGTTGTGGTTATAGTCCTGCGCAGTGGTATCCTTTCTTCGTGACCACAACACAACAGGATTAGATTGTGGTCGGAGGTTCGCTCTTCTACAGTCTGGATGCTGGCCGGTTGCCTCATGTTCTTGATTATGGCAATATCCAACACTTCAGGAGCTCCCGATCCAGTCGGGATCCTAGTCGGGATCTCTGGGCCCAGGATTACTCCACCTTGCGCATCTACTGCTTCTGCTAACAGTCGGTCTTTACTGCAGGTTCGGGTGCTATACCACTCCGTGTTTTTGCAGTTTAGGTCGCCCATCAACAGCCTTGGTTTGTTGTTCCCTAACATTGTCTGGATGTCTAGCAGGTTCAGGGCTTCCTGAGGTTCTCTGTACTGTTACTGGCCCTTTGAAGGTGTTGATTTGCACGCTGGTGGCGTGTATGTCTGTGTCCTCTACTCCTATGCTGTGGTGGTCGATGTCTTTGCTAATTAGCAGGGCCACTCCTCCAGGCTGGGTGCTGTCGTCGTGCCTGTAAACTTCATAATCTTGTATGTTAATCCTAATATTACTTGCTACCTTGGTTTCCTGGAGTGCTACCACTTCAGGATTCCTGTTGTCCAGGAACTCGTCTAGCTCTGGACGGCGAGTTCTTAGCATATTGACGCTACTGTTAAACTGTCAGGCTGATGGAGCCGGGACATAACCGCCTGGACAATGGCTTCCAAGGACTCCCTGTCCATTGCTGCTACTTGTTCCTGCGTACTGCTGCGAGGGGTGGTCCTTTTCGGAGTTGATTTCCTGTGTTCCTTGCGGACGACCGGCATCTTCCTCTTGGGGTACATGGGGCATCTCCTCCAGCTGGCTGGATGCCCTTGGGTGCCACATAGCGCACACTTACAATTGCGGCCCTCCCCTTTGCCTGGTCGAGGCAGCTGGCAATCTGCGCTTCTGTGGCCTTTACCACATTTCACGCATCTCACCGGCTGGGTGCAGTGTCGCTGTGAGTGTCCATACCTCTGACACCTTAAACATTGCCCCGGACCTTGGCTCTTGCGTTTACTTTCCAGCTTGACAGTCAAGTTGAACAATCTGGATATATTCCAGATGTCCTTGTTGGCTGTCTTCACCAGCACCAAAGAAAATCTTTCCTTGGTCCTCCTGCTGACCATCTGGAACGCTTCCGCTTCCTTGATGTCCAACTCCTTCAGCTCCTTCTCGGTCTCACTTGCTTCTATGTTCTGTGGCAAACCCCTAATCACCACGTGGAGCTTTTTATCCTCCGGCAGCGTGTACGTATAGTACGGCCGCTAGAGCTTTTGCAGGAGGCTGGTGGCTTTCCTAAAATCAGCCGCCGTTTTAGTAGTAACCGCAACCCCATTTCTATTGATTGCGGCCCTGGTCACTTCGATGCCTTCTGCAGTGAAGGCACCGTTCAGCTGTCTCTAGCTTGTTTGTCCCTGTGTGTTGATGGGTGGAATTTTTCCCACCCTTTCAGTGACTGGGGAGTCGGTCTCCATCCCCGTTGCCTCTATTATGATAGTTTCCTCCTCCTCACCTTTGCTTTCGTCTCTGCGCCTTTTTCTGCTCTCTTGAGCAGGAAGGGCGCTGGACGGGCCTGGGGGGACTGTGAGGTGCTGGCTTTTTGGCGGCAACCTGCGGGAGAACCTGTGCTGTTTCGAGTGTCGCTGTCTTGCGGGGCGCCGAGGGTTTCGGTGCCCCCTTGACAGGCGCACTAAAACTGTCAGGTTTCTTTGCCGGTTTTGGGGGCTCGAGTCTGCCTGCCAGCATCGCAGTTAGTTGCCTGAGATTGGCCTCTAACCTGCGAATATTCTTCTGGAGCTCCTCGTTCTCCTGCTGCAAACTTTCCATGGCGGTTTTAGGCGCCATTCTGCTTGCACCTTCAGACAACTATTACAAAAAAAAACAAAAAACTTAACACTAATACGTGGATTTAAAAAAAGCACGTGGTGGTTTCTTGGTGTGTGGGTTTCGGCTGCAGATGCAGAGCGCGCTGTGTTCGACTGTGTACGATATCATTCAGGAATAAATCTTCTTCTTTATCACGGTCGTTTTGTATTTGTGGAATTTCAAATTCTTCTTCGTTCTTGCCTTCAACGACATTTGACTCTAGTTCTTCAAGCATTGCGGGGTTTAGGGGACCATCTCCATTGACATCACTATGATAGGGTAAAGCAGTGAGACAAGCTTACCCATTACACTAGCCACAAGCTAAATAGCACCGCAACCGCGATTTCGTGCATCCACATCGTAAACCACAACCATTCTTGCATTTGCAGAATATGGTGTTCAGCAACTCCTCTGAAGCTGGAGATAAAATTGTAGTAGTAAGTTCCAGGAACCATTACGCATTATCCTTCCCCAGTCATAGGGTTCTAAATCATGCCCTAGTCAAGTCTGAACTTGGTATTAAACACGGTTGAAATGTTGATGAGCTGCTGCACTTGTTGGATAAATGCACAGGTCTAATACATTTGGTTGACTGATCTTAATTCAATGAATTACTGATGTTCAGGGCAAGTTAATTTGTCTGCACACCACGAGAATGCATTACAATCTAAATCTTCTAATCAAATCTGGAGTAAATCTCTTAAGTCTTCGTATTTCAGGATGGCTGATCATCAAGTTAGTTGTCATTTGATTTTGATGTGCACTAATCCTGTCTTTGTATTTGGAACTAAATGTACTGATTTCCTCTTTGACTGTTGGGATGTTAAGATCTTTTCGGATGATCTCATTTGGAATAAACTATGGTGCATTCACCATATTTCTTAGCATCTTTGCTTGTAATGTCTCCAAAATTGCCATATTTGAGTTGGATGCTGAACCCCACAGTGGAATTCCCTATGTCCACACGGGTTTAATTATTGTTTTATAGATAAGTAGTATATTTTCTAGTGAGAGTTTTGATCCTTTACCTATCAACCAGTACATTTTTATATATTGTAGATTGAGTTGCTTCCTTTTCGTCCATATGTGAGATTTCTATGTGAGTCTGCGTTCCAGGTGCATACCAAGATACCTCACAGTCTCTGTTTGTGGAACCTGTTTGCTATTCGAGGTTACTGGAGGACATGTTGCATTTCGCAGTGTGAATGTCACATGCGTAAACTTCGACTCGTTTGAATTTATTATTTATGTCTTTAGCCAGTTTCCAAATTTCGTTAAGTGTATTTGAAGTAGTTCTGATGCTATTATAGGATTTGTATGTGATGTCATAATACCAGTGTCAGCTGCAAATGTGGCTATGGTATTTTGCTCTATTGTTGGCAGATCCGAAGTGTATAGGACATATAGAATCGGCCTCAAAACACTGCCCTGAGGCACTCCTGCCTCTACTGGACATATTCCTGTGTACTCATCTTAAGATTTTACGAGAAAGTGTCTATTGCTAATGTATGTTTTGATTAGTTGTTACAAGTCGGAAACGGTAAAGTAAGGAAACATCTTTTTTATTTTGTATAGCAATCCTTATCAAATGACTGCGATATATCCATGAATACTGCAGACCAATATTTTTTCTCTTCAAAATTTTGACTATTCTACGGACCTGCGTTATGGTCGAGTGCTTTTCTCTAAACACAAATTGATGTTCAGGTATTAGTTTTTTTGTTTGAATGATTTCGTTCAGCCGCTTTGCTATTAGTTTTTCGAATGCCTTTGAAATTCCCGGAAGCAAGCTTATCGGTCTATAAGAAGTCACTTCTTTTGGGTTTTTTCCTGGTTTTGGTATCATGAGCACTTGTGCCACCTTCCATTGAAGAGGAAAGTAGCTAAGTCGTACTACATAATTAAAAAGAATTGTAGTTAACTTGACGGTTTTGATAGGAAGTTCTAGCATAATTTTACCGGTTATTAAATCATAGCCTGGTGCTTTTTTGGGATTAAGTTCTTTCAAAATAACCGTCATTACTTCTTTTGTTTTAAATTTTGTCATAGGGAAGTCCATTTGATGTGGTGCTTCTAGGAAGTAATTTTAATTTAAATATTTTAACATCGTGTTCTTCTAGTCATTTTAGAGGGTGGCCTTCGTAATTTTTTTAAAATTTGAGGTCTCACTGTTGAAATATTTTATTTCCAAAATGGCGGAAAATATTAATTTTTATTGTTTGCCTTTAAAACGGTTAAACATAGAAACTTCAATTTTGGTATACATTATAGTCTTATTGAGTACCATTTTATGGTAGTGTTTTGTAGTTCCGTTTGCTTTTATACAGGGTTGAAATGT